TGTGGAGGACTATAAATACCTTGGAGTACACATTGACAATAAACTGGACTGGGCTAAAAACACCACAGCACTTTACAGGAAGGGCCAGAGTCGTCTCTATTTTTTGAGGCGACTGAGGTCCTTCAACATCTGCCAGAAAATGCTGAGGATTTTCTATGAGTCTGTTGTGGCCAGTGCGATCCTCTATGCTGTTGCATGCTGGGGGAGCAGGCTGAGGGTCGCAGATGCCAACAGACTTAATAAACTGATCCGTAAGGCCAGCAATGTTGTGGGGATGGAGCTGGACTCCCTCAAGGTGGTGTCGGAGAGGCGGATGCTGTCCAAGATAAAGACAATGTTGGATAACACCTCCCACCCACTCCATGACATGTTGGTCAGTCACAGGAGCTCGTTCAGTGAGAGACTGAGATTACCCATGATGCACCACTGAACGACACAGGAAATCATTCCTGCCTGTGGCTCCCTGTACAACGCATCCACTTAACACACTGTTTGCTGCTACAACTACAGCCTTCTTGCACATGTTCTTCCTTTTTCAGCTATTTATTAATAAGTGACCTTTATGTATATATATGCCTGTATATATGGTGCTATTCTTAGTTAGTGTATTGTCTTTGTTAATGGTTGTTTATAATGGAGCACTGTAACGAAAAAGAATTTCCCCCAGAGATCAATAAAGTATTCTGATTCTGATCACCTGTCTTCACATTAATTACAAATTGTTAAATTATATTAAGGTATAAAAACAAGTTTATTGATTGTAAATTTACATGATGTGGTGAAACAGTGATGCTGTGTTTACGTCTGTGTGAGGCGGTTTTTATTTTCTCCGGTTAAAGAGAAATAAATAACAACTTTAATAACATCCACTCACTGGTTTCTCTTTAACATCACTTTCACCACATGATGGCAGCATTAATACAGTGAAGCAGCCGAGTGACGACGACACATCTGCTGCCCAACAGCTCAGTCAGAGGTCAAAGGTCACTGCAGGCGGTGGATGTGCCAAGAAAAAAAAGAAAAACATGTAAAGATGAATCTATTTTTTCATCTTTCCATTTGTTCTGCAATAAAACTGAAACAAAGAACAAATATCTTGGTCGCACGCTGGAATCTGAAGCTGTAGAGGTAACCATAATCAGCCTGTCAGACGCTGGCTGTCCAAACCCACATGGAAAAGAAATAGAAAAGACTGATGTGGCCTACTTCATATAGTGAATCATATAAGGCTGATATGATTTACTCATGAAAGTGGCCACTTTCATATATTGTTTTAGGAAGTATCCAAAACATAAAAGTTTCATTTATATAATTTTCAAGGGATCTTATATCTGTTTTCACTCTTGTATGTTTTCATACGAGTTTCACACAGACAGATACAAACTTTGTAAGATTTATATCTTTTCCATATGGGAATTCAGGGTCTGCAGCCTTTACGGTCCACAAAGGCCGCGTACTCAAAGACCGAGAAGGCCGGAAGTGCGAGGCTTGTGAAATGGGACGGTCTCATTGCGCTGTTCAGGTTGCCTAGCAACCATGATACTAACCGCTGGAAACGTTTCATACAGCTTTGTTTGACAGAAATGAACGAGAACATATTTTGTTCATTTGTTTCTACATGAGCTCTGTGTGATTAGAATAGAATAGAATAGCCCACTGAAGGAACAATGGATGGTAATCATGGCCATTGATCAGTGGGTTTTGGTCAGTGGTTGTTGATCAATGGTCATGAGAATTTGCATAATTATGATTAAGGAACTGACCTCCCAGCCCCTTGTTCCTTCAGTGGGCTGGTTTCAGTCATTATGCAAATGTCCTGTTTATAAGAAAACCTGCAGTCAGCTGAGACTGAAGACGTCACCTGATGATGACGAAACGTTTCCCCCCCTGAAAACGTCCAGATGAACAGAAGCAACTTTTGGAGATTTACTTTCCTGGAGGGATGAGCATCAAGACGAAATATGGCCAATATTATAGTTATTATATTAATCATTATTAGTTATTACAGCAGTGAACTTGAACTCGTGTCAAACACTGAGCTTCAGTAAAGATTCAAGTTGCAGTTGTTTATATTTTCCTATCACCTTAACTCTTCACTCAAAGACGAGTACCTTTGACAGTGCATATATAGATGTATTATATATAAGAGACAAATATTGTTCGTTTAATATGTTGGCATTACTAAATTTGGCTCAATGCTTACATATATGTGTAAAAAGCAAATGTACGAGCTGTGATAACTGTGTCTGATAGAATGAAGAGTCGACTGATATATGAAATATTCCTTTATTGGGTGATAAAATCAGACCATGTCATAACTGCTGTAAGTCATACAGAATAGATATCAGAGCCTTAAACAGGCTGACGTCTGCTAAATGGGTCAAACTGGGCAGACAGTACACAAACACATACTTTTGACAGTTTAATCTTCGGCCGCTCCGCTTCTGCCGCTTTTTTCTGCAAAATTATCCACACCCACCGCCGCGCTATGAATTGTGGGATATGTTGGGCCATGTAGGATAGACAGACCCATCCTTAAAATTCAGGGAAATGAAGGACGCATTTCGAGCAGCCTTTGAATTGGGACAGCCTTCATCTCGTCGCTGTGACGTAATCGGCCTTAAATGAGGCCTTTAAGGCTGCAGGCCCTGAATTGTGTTACAGCTGCTGTGATGACTGCATTTATCCACTTGGAGCTCTGATGATGATGACAGCTTATCACGAGTGTCCTCCCCACAAACCACTGAAACAGCCAGCAGGATGAACAGCTGCTGATCTGCTTGTATCTGTGGCCTCTGTGCAGCAGACAGGCTCGGTGTGAGGGCGGTCGGATCGGCTTCACATTTATGCTGATTAAAAACGCTCAGACTTAAAAAATCTCAGTTACTTAAGATGAGAAGCAGGAGCGTAACACAGAGCTCTGGGTCCTGTGCACCAGCAGCCTCTGTGGGCCCCTTCCCTTCCTGACTGCACTAAAACAAAATCATTCTACAGCAGTGGGATCATCTTGCAGGTCAACTGGATGATTTAGAGCTAACAAAGCTAAGTAAACACATCCATCACCACAGAAGTGACCGCCTATAAATGTATTTTAAATCGAGGTATTTCAAAATGCTGTTTCATCTTCCTGAAACACGCCGACTTCCTCAACGTGCCTCTCTTACCTCAGAGCAGTGAAGAAACACTGGCTGTGTCTGATGCAGGGACAGAGAAGACGGCCGTGTTCATGTTCACAGACGGATTCTTCTTCGTTTACACGATGGAGCTTTAACCTGCACGTGTGGACGTCTCGCTGAGACGCTGATTTCTGGAAGTCTTTCTGAGCGCGTGCACAGAATCATATTTTTAATTCAGCTTAAGATTGCAAACATCCACTTTCATTTAATGACATTATGAACTGTAGATGAGACAATCAGTGTTGTGATGTTGTAAAAGAAATATGTGTTTATGAGCTTTAGAAATCAATGCATTCTGTTTGTATTTACATGTGTCCCAGCTGTTCGTGCAGTTATAACTGCAGCTGGAGCTACGACCGATCTGACATCATCATCACTTTCATGGCATCATATTTGATCAGCATCAGTGGATTTACAAGCGTAGAGACCGGACAGTATGTTAGCATCAGTAGGAAAGAAAAACAGACTGGAAACCTTTAAGCAGTGAGTCAGTGAGTCTGTGCTCACTCTCATACGTCCTCAAAGCTTCTTCATGTAAACAGGAAGCAAAGCTGCATCACTGAGAGCAGCATGAGTACAGAACAACACTGTGTCTACCAGGTACTGTTTCTCAGGTTGGGGAAACCTGCAGTCAGCTGAGACTGAAGAAGGATGATGATGATGATGAAATGTTTCTCCCACTGAACATGTCATCTACCAGTGTTAGCACTGCACAGCTGTCTCAGTCTGTGTTCCTGTGTCTATTTATACTTTTTCCTTCATTTTGTTGCATTTCGTGGATTCTGTTACTTTGAATCTGAAACTTTGTTTTGCTTCAGTTTTGGATTAAATTTGGACTTTAATCAGCCAAATCAACAGCTCACCTATTCTCTATTCTCACGTGGTTCTATCAGGCATCACATGGACTTTCACTTAACCTTGGGCCTTCTGTCCTGAGCTGCAGCTCTGTGAGTAAGACAGGCACGAACATCAGCCAGCGTTTCGTTTGCAACAGTTAATAAAAACCTGGTGCAGCCATCGTCTCTCAGGATCAGCAGTATTGGGCTGCTTCACTCACTCTGTGATTTGATGACACCGAGAGCTTCATTACCTCCAACTCCTCCTTCAGTGCAGAGAGAAACATCTCTGGACCTCTGAGTGATTTTGATACCAGGGATTCGCCCCCTGCTGGCCAATGAAAGAAACGCAGGCACTTCCACTTTGGCTTCACTTTTCAATCACAGAAAATAGATCCATGTTTTACACAGTTGATTCATATTTCTGTTTTCCTCAAAGTATTGACAGCAGTGCAGTGAAAGCATGCAGCTTGTTCTGCATGTTGTCTTCAGGAAAGATCACAGAGGGAGCAAAATAGCAACGAATACAACTCATAACACGTGAAATAACAACGTCTGGCCTGATGGTGGCAGTACTAGAAACACGAGGATCACAGCAGCATCATGATGGACCGACTGAGAGATGATCTAATATGAAGTAACACATCTAATCTTGGACAGTTTAACAGTTTGTTTCTTTAAAGTGCAGCAGAAATAAATCTGTAAGTGACAAAGTGACTTTTCCTTTAATCTGAGCTGTGAACGTGTGTTTGTGAAAAATGAAGTTCTTCTTGTTCCAATGCTTTAATAGTTGATCTCAGTGACTTTACAAATATAAAAACTGAACTGCGTTCTGCACAGAGGAGTTTGTGGTTTGTCTTTCTTTGCCACTTCCTTGAAGCTTCTTCCTGTACAAAAGCAGGAAGAAGGCTGGCCAGAGTGACAGCAGTGTGCGGACAGGATGTCACTGTAGTACTGCACACCTGTTAGAGTATTAGAGTACAGCTTAAACTCCTGCTCAGCGTCTCCATCCTCTCACGATGTCCTCAGATATTTATGCTGAACCAGATCTATCAAAGAAGGTGAGATACAGCAGAAAGGAGGACGGAGCAGAGTGGGAGCAGAGGGAGGTGGATATCTACGAGAGTGCAGATGCAGCAGGAGGTGAGTGAACCGTAATAACATTTCATTTCTGGTTTGTTACAGTTAAGTTTTCACAAACTGCCATCAAACGTCAAACTTTTTACCTGACTCGCTGTTTCCTGTGATGTACGATTATTTCCTCTTACTGACTTTTAAACAGACGCTCTGCACAGAAAACAGATTTGGACACTTAAAGGGACCAAGGAAGGTCTTTTGCTCCCTGACTTGTATATTTAAATGTGCTATTGTTACATTTTCATTTGTAAAAATAAACAGTGAATCGTGGATAACAGCCCAGATTCAAAGATATCCTGAAGTACACGCTGCTTTACGAACGCGTGAGCAGTGCAGAGAGGAAGGCTGTGGGCGAGCGTTTGGATGCTGTTTCTAACCCAGTTACACAAATATCATCTACCTGGTCCTTTAAATGGAAGCTGCAATATCAGGAAATGCATCAGTTCTAAAGCACACATGTGTCAAATTTTTACCATGAAAATGAGAGAAAAATGCATTTAAAGACATGAGAACATTTCTGAATGTGTGTCGTAGATAAACACATCAGTCTCATGGTATGTTAAAGACATATTTAACTAATATATGATCTCACCCATAACCCCGTTCTGTTGCTGTAGTCACGTAAATCGTTTGGACACTTGAGGGTTAAACACAATGCGGATGTCTTATTTTGGTGTCTGACTCTTGTGGAGATGAGCTCATGAAACCACAGGTCTATTAAAGACAGAGTGACAGGAAATGACAAACAGCTCTACCACCTGAGCCAGAGCCAGGTGGTAGAGCTGATCAGCTGATAGGAAGGTTGGTGGTTCGATCCCCTCCAGTATGCATGTCAAATATCCTTGGGCAAGATACTAACCCCAAGTTGCCCTCTGATGTGTTCATCCGATTGTGAATGTAGTTTAGTTTGCACTTGTGTTTAGAAGTGCTTGTATGAGTGGGTGTGAATGGGTGAATGAGGCATGCTGTATCAGCGCTGTGAGTACTCCGGGAGAGTAGAAGAGTGTTGTATAACAATCGGTCCATTTACCAAACCAACATCCACACTGCTTTCTAACAGGACCACAGACTCAGAATCCTCCTTCAGTCCTGAAGGGCTCTTTCAGATGTGCTACACTGGGTCTAAGAGTGCTGTGCCTCCTGATGTTAGCTGGGATCATCATCCTGTCCATATGCTGTAAGATAAGATACAACCTCTGAACTTCTCCTGCAAATGAATGTATGACTGATACTGAATCCCAGCAGCCAACAAACATGCAGCTTCACAACCAGAACGTGTCCTTCTGCCACAGCAAATACAGGAAGTACCTGATCACATGGAAACACCTTTGATATGAGGAAGTGTTGAAGCCTCAGAGCAGCTTTGACTGAATGTAAAAAGACATATTTTCAGTGAGAACAGGCACATGTCACATGAGTCAGAATCTATTCTTTCAAAGCATATAGATAACATCTCTGACTGCAGGTGTAGAAATGCTGTTTGACTCTTCACCTTCTTCCTCCACACTGAAGCACAATTATTCTGAATCTTGTCAGTGGTTTTTGTTCACAGTTGATACGTATTTAGCTCATCAGATTTCCTGTAGTTCTAACACCTCCACCCACAGGACATGTTAAAGAGCAATGGCTGCAAGTTTCTGACTCTTATTGATATTTGACAAAGCAGAGGAAGAAGATTATTTCTGTTCAACGTTTCACTCATTTTATTTTATTTTATTTTGGTTTCACTGAAATATTTCAGATGTTTTGAACAAGAGTGAAAACAACAAACTTCACTTCAAACACAATAAACTGAACCACAGTTACAACGAGCTACAGACTGAACATCAAGGTAAGAAAGTATTTAAAATTAACAAGAAAATACTAATGTCAGATAAATTTATATTTACATTTTTAACATGTTTTTTTCTACAGAAACAAAACGACTCAACAGTCAGCTACAGGAAGAAGTGAAGAAGCTGAAGGAGAAGATAGAAGGTAATAAAGTTTGAATAACTGATAGAAAACATCAGTGTTACACAGTGATAACCTGATTGTGTCTTTGTTTTGAATCCTACATGTTTGATGCTGTGTAACAGTTTCTCTGTATAAATGTAAGTTTCAGTTCATTATGAATAAGAGAGAAAACCTGAGTTTAAATGAAGCATTTACAGGGAAAATGACAGGAACCAAAGATTCATGTGATACAACAGGACACAAAGTCTGTCTTTAAAACATGTGTTTGACTTTAAGGGAAGTGTCCTGATCGATGGATGAGATTTGGAAGCAGCTGCTACTTTAAATCCACTGAGAGTGAAACTTGGTCTGAGAGCAAACCACTGTAAGACCAAAGGAGCTGATCTGGTGATGATAAACAGCAAAGAGGAACAGGTGGGTGTGTTTGTTCATGTCTGTGTGATCTTTGATGGAGCTGACAGTCATCTGTTACTTGTGTCTTTGACCTGCTGTCAGTCTGTGACCTGCTTCCTGTCTCCACTCTGATGGATTTCGCTCTGATTTCTGCACAGTGGAAGAAAAGTTTCATCACAGTTATTCTTCCTTCAGACATGTTCACAAGATGATGTCACTACAACAGAAGTGCTGAATTATGACTGGAGACAATATTTGTGTCTCTTCTCAAACAGGAATTTGTCAATGAACCGAACCTGAGAGGAAAGTCCTGGATTGGTCTGGAAGCTAAACGGCCATCAGGAAGATATAAATGGGAATGGGTGGACGGATCAGCGCTGACAGAAAGGTGAGACATTAGTTTGTTTCTATTCCAGAGTTATTATTTAGAAGTGAAACACTGATGTTTTGGAAGATAGATCAGCAATACATGAGTTGAGCTATTTTCCAACAGCCCCACAAACTGAATGTAAAGAAAAGCAGAAATCCTCCTTTGAATGAACAGCTGTGCTTGAACTCTCTTCATCTGCAGTCTGTGATGACGTTCAGTTACAACAAGTCAGTTTGAAGGAATCAGGATTGAAACATGTTCAAAGCAGCGACCGACACATTTCACTTTGTTCAATTTGTCTTCATGTTTTTGTGCTGTAATGTTTCTTTTCTCACAGAACAAAAAGTGTTTCAGAGAATTCCTGTCTCTTCTTCTTTGGTGTTTGTAAAACTTCAGAACATATGAAGGAAGAAGCTTCAGTAAATATGACCTGATAGACACACATTTCAAAGTGATGTCTGTAAACAGCTGACAAAACAGTTTCAAACAGCAGAAAGTCAGCTCTGACTTCTTTTTATTCTCCATTTTTACAGCAGGAAGATTTCATATTCATCAAAGCTTGAAAGCTGTTTTAGTGTGCATGATGATTCTCAGAGAAAAGTCTAAAGGAGGGAAAGTGGGCGAGAAACCTGGGAAAGAAATACAGCAAATATTGGAAATATTCCAAAAGAGACGCATATTTATATGAATGTGACAATAGTTATGAGTTTAGTGCAGTTTCATATCAGATTTGATCTCTCTGACAGGTTCTGGGGAACAGGATCGTCAGATCCTTATTCTGGTTACTATGGAGTCTGCTGTGACCGTGATGGGAAATGGATATGGTCATATTATCCTAATTCAATGACCTTCATCTGTGAGAATGAGTTTGGTGCTTTGATGTAAATGTTTGAATAATCCAACCAAAGACACCTCACTATGAAATGTCCTGCATGAGCCTCAGACTCAGCTTACAGTCTTTACTTGTTCATTCTGCATCATATATTGATTACATATATTGTCCCTCTGTGCTCTGTGCTGTACAGTAAGGTTGGAAGTCATCCACACAAAACCTTGAAGTACTTCATTACTCTGTAGTTCCAGCAAATTGTTCTAATAAAAGTCAAAGTGCAGCTTGTCTTTACTTTGCTTTACTTGGTTTATTCATCAGCCTGTTGGTCCTAAAACTTCAGTAAATGTCTTCTTCAGTTTCTCTCAAACGGCTGAAAGTTGCTGCTTCTTACTTTTAGCTACAAATCAGGAACCAAGAGACTGAAACCAGCACAAATTCAGTTTGTCAAACTTACAACGTGTGAATAAGTGAAGATGAATCCGTTTAAAACAACTTTCCTTCTTCTTCTTCACTTACATCAAAACACAACTTTACCTTCCTGCTTAGTTTGCAGCGAGCTGCCTGCACAGCGTTAACACACTGAAGGTCAAAGTTCATTTCAGCATGGCAGAAAGGAAAAGTCCAGAAACAACAACTCTCACAGTGGACACGGTTAAAGTCTGTTGATGACTCTGAACGTGACTCGGGTCTTTTTGTAATGTGGGCCTTAGTCGTCTTCATGAATCAGACAGTTTCAGAGCCAGTTTCCATGTGACACACTTCCTGCTTTGGACCCTTTACCTGCAGCCTGTATGTGTCCACATGTGATTGGTGCAAAGCTTTTAACTAATGACCACAGACCCTGGTTGTGTTTCGCTTCAGATGATTTTCAGCATTTCATTGAATTCTAACTGCATCAAAGACATTTCAGCGTTTCAATTCATCAAACTGACTTCAGATCTTGTTGCATGCTGTGAGTTTCTCTGCTGGTAAACTCGAAATAACTGAAGTTCACACTGACGCCATATTTCCTGCATCAGAAACATTCGCTCATTACTAACATTATATATTGTGTGATGACAGCAGCTTCTGAGAAAGCTATTTTTAAGTTGCTGCTGCTAAGTTCAAGCTCAGTGTCTGTGCATTATGACAAACATTTCAAATACATTTGTGGCTTTGCTTGTATTGGTGTACAAGTATCTATGTATTAATGCATGTAATGGAAAAGTTTTCCAAATAAATGGAGAAAAGTATTTAAGCTGTCTGTGTTTGTGCTTTATTCTGCTGTTCGTTTCTGACTCGTTCACATTTGTAATTAATCACAACGGCATCAATGAAATCTCAGTAATTAAACTGATAAATCTGAACTTCAGGTCTTGTTGAAATCTGTTTGTTTGTCTGTTTCCAACTGGAGACGGTGACAGTGACAGAGCGAACCTCTGCAACGCCGTGACGCCCCGTTAGCTTAGTTCACACTGACGTCATATTTCCTGTGTCACAAACTCTTCTTCTCTCTTCTCATTCTGTGGACTTACAACATGTAGAAACTCATGAAAGCAGCATCTAACAAAGGCATTGATGTGCATGTTGCTGCTGCTGAGTTCAGCCTCAGTGTCTCTGAGATATTCAGACAGGAAATGTTCAGAATGTTCTGGAGGTGTTTTAATGACTTTTTGAAGTCTTTGTTGTGTTCGTGGTTTGTTCTGCTGTTTCTGACTCGTTCACATTTGTCATCAATTAAAACTGCATCAGTCAAAGTTTTGCATTTGAAGTGAACTGAACTTCAGATCTTGTTGGATGCTGTTAGTGCTCCTAAATAACTCAGCGTTTCACACATCATGACGTGACAGGAAAACTGTGGCTCTCTTCTGGTTTGACTTCCTGGATATTTTCAGTTCAAAGCTGCCTGACTCAAAGAAACAGGCAGACAGTGACGGACGGTCAAATATCTTCTTAGCTTAAGATGTCGACACAAACTCAAGGTGTCCATGACTCCAGGGTGAAATACAGCAGAGGGACCCATGAGGATGGAAGAGGAAGAGAGCAAATCGAGGTGGAGATGTTAGACGATGGAGAGCAGAACCCTGCTGGTGGATTACAAGAAGCTGGTAAGTAGGAACGAACTAAAAATACAAACTACAGATAATAAAAGGGAGGAAGAAGAAGGAGCTCCAGAGCCCCTCATTAGTGCTCCATGAATGGACTCTTTGTGTATTTTCTCTGTAGATGAACACACCCAGAGAAAGCTTCCAGCTGTGGACAGCAGCTGTTTCAGAGCGTTTGAAGTGACCCTGGGAGTGCTGTATCTGCTGATTCTGGCTGGAATCTTAACACGCTGTGAGCAACTTTATTTATCATGTTAGATTTGTGATTTTTTAACATTTTAAGGGAAATTATTTGATGTTGTTTACCTGATTCTGTTCACTTCCTGTTCTCTCTTCATGTTATAGTTAGAAACAGTCACTCTGCAGAGTTTTCTTATATATGTTACACTACTGCTGAAATATGTTCACTACCTACAGGCTGGTTACAAATGTGCTGGGGCCCAGCTAACTGATGAGATCTACACTAAAGTAAATTAACTTAATACAAGGCTGTCGAGGCTGTCGAGGCTATCGTGGCTCAAGAGTTGGGAGTTTGCCTTGTAATCGGAAGGTTGCCAGTTCGAGCCCGGCTTGGACAGTCTTGGTCGTCGTGTCCTTGGGCAGACACTTCCCTCTGGTGGTCAGAGGGCCCGGTGGCGCCAGTGTCCGGCAGCCTCGCCTCTGTCAGTGCGCCCCAGGGTGGCTGTGGCTACAACGTAGCTGCATCACCAGTGTGCGAATGTGTGTGGATGACTGGTGTGTAAAGCGCTTTGGGGTCCTTAGGGACTAGTAAAGCGCTATACAAAAACAGGCCATTTACCATAACCTTTAACGTTAGTAGGGATGGGTATCGTTGGCTTTATCCAATACCAGTACCAAACCGGTGCTTAAAGAATGGAGAACACACACTTTGTCCAAAAACCTCATGTTCAGCTGTTTTTTGTAAAAAGATAACAATGTTAGCCTTTTCTGCAGCTATGGGGCATATATGGTATCACTCTTGGCTGGAAGCAGTGCTTAAACAATGGAAAAAACACAAACTTTGTCCTAAACCTCTCATGTTTAACTATTTTCCACTTTTTCTTTGGTCTTTTTAGCCTTTTTGGCCAGGGTGAAGGGAGCATCTGCCATCAAACAAGAAGACAGCCGCATGTAGCTATGATGATGTTTACCTTACATGCATTAATGTAATAACGTGGTTAGCCTACTCAATGTAAATTACACACGAACAGCATTAAGCTACTCACGCAGAGAAGAACGGCTGCTGCTGCATCATCATCCTCATCATTTCTGCTACACTGGCAGGGCTAGGGGCCAGGACTCTCCTCTTCGGGTTTTTGGGGGATGTTGCTAACTCTGGGTCCGATAACAGGCACCACACCCGCAGTAGATGTGCTCGGTGTGAGGTCTCGCAGCAAGCTACCAAATACGGCGCATTTCTCCGGATACCGGTACCCATCCCTAAACATTAGTGGCTAACCACCAGCAGCTAAAGCTGAGGACACACTGGAAAGGATTCACTCGTCACGTATCACTTTGAAGATCACAGCTGGCTCCAGTTTTATGTAACCTAATGTATTTAATACTAAATCATATGTCAGGCTTGATGTGCTCTCATATGTAGTCGCTTCGATCTCTGTCTCTGCCTGGAAGTAGAGAAACATTACTCTTCAGTTCCCATCGTGCTGATTTTGAACATTATGGAATTTA